AGTAATATAATCAATAGTAGTAGCCCTGTTTTTAGGAGTGACCTCGTGGTCTGGGGATACTGAGACCCAGCCATGAGCTCACTATTTCTGCATGTAATCTAGTTAATTTGAGTGTTTTGACCGAAGCCGGAAGCCGTTTTTGTCGACCTGATGTTAGAAAAGACCACCGAAAGTACTGGCTTGGTAGAGACGGTGAAAAGCATGCAAAGCTCTGTTTAGACGTTAGCCAGTCGTCTTAAGACTTAGTTTTGTTTTCCGTCGATATGTATCTTCCGGGCGAATGTTACATACTCTGACTGCGCCCAACTACAGGATTAGGAATTTCAAATTTGAAGAAAAATAAATTTGAGTTTTCTAAAGTTTTTTTGAAAAAATAACAAAAACGTCATATCTCAAAAACTGCAAGTACTTGATAAATCGTATTTCGAGGCAAAATTTGCAACTCCTGGGACTACCCTGAAAGAGCCTCACTAAAGAGATGGGAACTTCAAATTTTGTGAATTTTTTTACATCTAAGTTAATTGAACAACTTTAAAAAAAAAAGACATAACAAACGTCACGTCTCGGAAACTAAGAGGGTTTGAGCAGTCGCAATTTGATGCAAGATTACCCTCACAGCACCCAACTACAAGGTTGGGAATTTCAAATCAAGGTTGGCAATCAATTTTTCTGAAAAAAAAGGAAAAAATCATACAAAATGCCATATCTCGAAAACCAAACCTGGACGCCAGATTTGCAACTTTTGAATTTAAACTGACAGCACCCCGCTATTGGGCTGAGAAATTTTTTTTGGGTTAGTTTTTTATATCATGAAACACGTCAGATCTCGAGAACTACAAGGTTTATTTAGAGCAGTCATATTTGGAGGCAAGATTTGCAACCCTTGAGAGTACTCTGGCAGCACCCAATTGCAGGGTTGGCAATTTCAAAATTTTATGAATTACTTTGTAATTTAGGGTTTCTGAAAAACCACATAAATAGTCGTATCTCGTACACTAAAAGAATTTGGGCATTGGAGGTCAAAATCGCAACCACTGAAGAAACCCTACAACATTCCACTATAAGGCTGCTCATTTTAACTTGGTTAAATGAACATAGAATTCAACTGGAAAATCGAAGAAAAGTCTTAAACATTGCAATATATGAAATAGCTTATACGAAAAAATTCTTTCGTTAAACATACAAAAATAATACGCTAAAAAAGCTTAAACGTGGCGAGATAGAGAAGCCCGCATTTTAACATATAATAGATAATACTTCCCAACACGTTTCTCGATATACTTCATATCTACCTCACTCCGGGATTCACTATAGGTCTCACGTACTCGCATCTGCGCCACGGTTACTAGCAAAAGGGCAAAAATTAGCCAACAATAAAGCAGAAAACAGCTATTAAATTGTCAATGCTTATCTAAGGTGCCACCGAATTGGGACTTTCATTTGCGACTAGAGTTCGAAAAACTGACTACGTTATAGAAAAATGCGCTCACTTTTTAAATGAGTTGAAAACTTCAAATTCAAGGAATCTTCCAGACTATTCGTGCTTTTCGCTTAAACTTTGTCTCTCTCTTAAAAATGCTTAAACAGTGCGCCGTATCATCAAAACAAGTCATTGATTCGATAAAAAAAGACTAGCGCATGACTCGCACCTCCAGCGCTTTTAATAGATCGTTGAACGTGCGAAAAAGCTTTTTCAAATAACTATTAAAAACATCGATGTATAACGCTATCGTTGTATCAAACTGGGCCCGGCCCATTCATCAGAATTTTGTATTTCATTTATTGAACAATTTATGAACTCAATTTTTATGTTTTTTTTTACCATGCTGGATATGTGAATTTTTCAAGAACCTGAAAAAATTGACAGCAGAGAGCGGCTTTCTTCGTAATTTTGAAAAACTCAAAAGTTGTAACATCAATCAGAATTTTTTGAAAAAAATTCATTAGTTAACTGAAAAAAAAAAAAGTATTTTAAATTTTCATCTCGGAAACTAAGAATGAAAAGTTCTAATAAAAGCTAAATTGGCAACTCCTAAAAGTAACCTGGCAGTAGCAATACTTGTGGTGGAAAATTTCAAGTTGACTTAGTTTTTGCTTACACTTAACAATTTTTTTAAATAAAAAAATGCCATATCTCGGCTGCCTAAAGGTTTTATCTATTTGGTGGATGGTAGTTGTACCACCCAAGTGTGTAACCTGACAGCATCACACAACCAAATGATAAGAAAGGTCATATCTTACAAATAAAAAAAAATTGAGCAGTCAAATTTACAAGGTCAGATATGCATTACACTGACAAAAACCAACCATTGGGTAGACAACTTCAACCTTTAATAACTTTTTCTAACCAAAGTTTTTGTAAAAAAAATTGAAAAAATCATTAAAAACACCATAATAGGAGGCCAGATTTGCGATCTATGGGTGTGATCAGGAACCACACCACCATAGACAAGAGAAATTGATGTTACACTTTTTTGAACCTAAGTTTTTGAAAAAGTTTAAAAAATCATAAAAAACCCCATATCTCGGATACCGAAAGGATTTGAGCAGTATAATTTAAAGGCCAAATTTGCAAACCCTGAGTACTCTGACACCACCCCAGCATGAACCAAAGAAGTTGAATTTGTATTAGTGTTTTTTATCAAATTTTTTCGAAGTATTAGAAAATTAAAAATATATATTTAACCCCCTATGCTATCTACTAAAGAATCTCTACCCCAATTATTGAATACAGTAAATGAACACTAGAGCATTGTATTTAGTTTTCATAAAATTGCTTCATACTAATTGGTCATAAATTCGCCTAACTTTATCAAATCTCTTCCCCTACTTAACAATTTCTTGAAAGGGGGAGATTGTTAAGTAGATTCAAAAAATGTCATATCTCGGATACCAAACTAATTTGAGCGGTAATATTCAGATGCTAGATTTCAAGAATGAGTGTATCCTGAAAAATTGCCACTATAAGGCTAGAGATCTTCAAATTTTGCTACCTTTTCTAAAACTAAGTTTTTTTTTAAACAATTTAAGAAACCATAGAAAACGCCATATCTCGGTATCCAAAAATAATTGAGCAGTAAATATATAGTCCAGACTTGCAACCCCCGAAAGTAACCCTAGAACACCCAATATTAGGCTTGACAATTTCGAAACTTGTTTTAACGTTTTTTAAATCAAAGTTCTTTGAAAAAATTGAGAAAACCATAAAAAACGCCATACTCGGAAGCCAAAAAGATTTGAGCAGTAATATTTGAAGGCCTGATGTATAAATCTGAGTGTACCCTGGCAGCACCCCACTATAGAGTAGATAATTTCAAGTTTTTTAGTGTTTTTTAAATCCTATTTGAAAAACGTCGTATCTCGGAAACCATACGGATTTGAGCAGCAACATTTGGAGGCCAGAATTGCAAACCCTCAGTGTACCCTAACACACCCCACCTTAGGTTTAAGAATTTCAATTTTTTCAAATGAACAAAAACGAAAATCGCTAGAAAGTTTGCATTACGAAAGAAGCAAACAAACAGTACGCTACAGAATTCATGCTTCAACAGATAAGTGGTTAGAATCAAGGATGACCTTGGAAAACCAAATTTTTTTAAGCAATAAAATTTAAGCTTAAAAGCGCAAAAAGTCTTTCGTTAAACATGCAAAAGTTATTCGTTGAAAAAGCTTAAGCATGTGAACACATATGAGACGTAAAACGCCAATTAAATAATAGATAGATAGAAATTAGATAAATTGTAATTAGATTAAAATTGATTAATATATCAGCTGTTGTTTCTATATTCAAGTTAAAGATTGCACGGTGGCATAACGGGGTACATAGAAAACAGGGTTTTATCTCACTTGAGGATAAAATTGAACTTTAATGAATCCACGTGATTAAAGAATTTTTTTAAGCAAAGTTACGATTGGATTCTTGCATTATGCACTATGTTTCATAGTGAACTATTCATTCCAGAGTTGAATTTGATCAAGATATGAGTCCATTTCCTCACCTGGAAAGATGTGTCGTTGACAGCTGCTTAGAAGGTGAATTAGACCATGGTTAGCTGGAATCAAACGGACATGCGAAAGTATAAAACGGCCAAACGGAGGCCGAAGGATTAGAGATACTTCTGATATCGCATGCATATATTATCGTATTTGAAGAATGCGAGCCAGAAGTCACAGGAACGCGACTGCGTATTCGAAGGTCAACAAGAACACTCGATTACGAATCATCTTAGCACCCTGCCGATTCAATTTCTGTAGGCGCCGAAGAATTAACCCTGAGCCTGCGAGCCATTTCGCTTACAATAAATCTGCCTTGAAAGCATGCATGTTAGTTAAATTGCCAGTAGCGGCCTAAATTATTTTTGTTTCATCGCATGTACTAAAAGACATTAAGCAAAAATTTGGGATTTAATCCAAAGGGGGACTTTGTCCTGGGGGATTTTATAGAGGTGGATTTTGTCCTGGGGGTTATATCTTGGAGGATTTAGTCCTAGAACCTAGTTGACTGTATCTACTTGAAGTTAATGGCTAAACTTTTGACAAATGAAAGATGAAATTTAAACCGATTTAACTGAAACTGATAAATAAGTGCGCGTCCAGACAATTCGGCCAACGACAATTCAGCCGATTTGAAATTCAGACAATTCAGCCAAAAACAGTGACCGCCGCAGTCGCGCAAACGTGTTGCGAGCTTGCCAACAGAGGGTAGGCCTCTATAAAAAATTTAGAGCCGGTTATCGCCGCGAGGCGGCGCCGCGCGTAGCGCCGCCTACCGGCGACCTTAAACCGAGAAATAACTCCAATTCCGATTTTTTTTCTTTCGAATCTAGCGTTTTGTAAAACTGGCTGAATGGTCTGTATATTTCTGGCTGAATTGCTTGAATTTCAAATTGGCTGAATTGTCTTTGGCCGAATTGTCAGTGCGCCAAATAAGTGATATATAACATAGACCTAAAAACTTGCAGACTGGACGCTCTATCGTATAAACGCTCTGAGTGCTTTACCTGGTGGACCATAGAACAGAGCTCCCTTCGGTGCACTGGCCAGTCGGCTATTTGCGAACATGTCTGAGAAGAGAAGTGGCTTGATCAACTTCCTCTCTACAGCTCGGAGTAGGTCGTCCATGCCTCCGATGTCATCCCAGGTGCTCGTCTTTTTGGCCTCTTCTGCTTGGACAACCTAGGGCGAGACAAAACTTTTTTGTTAAGTAAATACTCAAATCCAAGGATATTTGGCCTCGAAGCAGCAAAAGTGCTAGGCTGCAAAACCGCCAATTTGGGACTTGAGGTGGAAAAAAGTGACTGTAATTTAGATTCATTCATTCACTTCATTGGCGTCCAATTTTAAAATGCGTTAAATTTATACGTTAAGTTTTTAGAGAGTGCTTTCAAATGAGATGTGCACAAAAAAGAATTTTCGATTGAAAACCTTAAAACTAAATTTGATTCTATTCTAATTCGATGTTCAGTTGAATTTTTATGGATTCGGAATTCCTGAATACGAGTAACAAACTACGGACAACTAATGTAATTACGTTTGACATGAACCATAACTTTTCATTAGCTTTACTAGGCATCAAAGTTCACCTGGGCAGCTATGATGAGCTCGTAGTCGGTGAGGGTGACCGAGGAACTGAGGCCCAGTCGTTTCATAATCTGGGCTCCCTTGGCAGACTGAAACACATTATCTATCTAGCTAGCATGATTATAATAAACACCAGGTGGCTCCTTCTCTGCCAATCACGTGTCATGTGAAAAATTACCAGTCAAATTTTTGTTCCCCTTGTCCGATTGTGCAAGAGAAAACAAAAAGAGTCATTGTTTATTAATAGATTTCTGTAGTCGATCCTGGGAAGATTGATCTAAACTCAAATGATTCCCATTTCTACCAATTTTGGGCTACTTAGATCAGTGGGAGATGGATTGCGATGGAGTAAAAAGACCGTGGTTTGCACCCTGGCAAAATTACGCCACCGTTGTGAAGTTCGCTAGGTACCATTCCTTCGCAAATAAAAAGAAGAAGTTGCGTAAATAATGAAAATCCGTTTTTTTTTTCGTTTTCTTTTAACATTTTTTCTAGCTCAAATGGGAAGGCGGTTGAAAGGACGAATGAAGAAGTAAAAGCAATCTGGGCGAAGGAGGTGGAGAAAAACACTTGCCTTACTTTTGCTGTCTTCGGAGTCCTTGTCTGCTTCGAGAAGGGGGAGCATCTTGCGTGCCACGAACCACCCGGTGGCCATCATGCTCGCCAACCCCGCAAACCGCAACACCATCTCGATCTTCCACTGGGTCTCCATCCCACCACCACTGCCGCCACTCATCTCTAGTTAGTGATGACAGTTATTAATTATAAACTTGAATAGTCTCACATTGATGCCACAGGTCGCAAAGGAAACACAAATCTGAAATAGAAGACGTTAAAATACATCTCGACTATCCATCATACAACTAACTAACTAACTAACTAGGCAACTAACTAACTATCATAACTAACTATCAATTTTCTTTAATTGTCAGTTCTTTTTCCTTAAGTTGATTCATCAGGTTCGTTTTTTGAATTCTTCCAAGTTTTGGTAAGTAAAACAGATCAAACACTAATTTTTATATTTGGGTACAAAATTCAATGCTTAAACGCTGAGTTAGTTCTTTATAGGGGTGGCAATTCTTCAAGGGTCTCTGCGTCTCAAATTAAAGTCTCACTTCAATTGCTTAATTAGTCAAAGTGTCAATTGTTACACAGTGGCAAAGCTGTACTTACAAACCCAAGCGAGAAAAAGGCAAAAAGTAGCCCTGAAGACATAAGGAAGGAAAGAAAAGGTAAAACTAAGCCTTGAAAAAATGCTGTGGTTGAACCGAACCACCGCACTGATTATTAGGAGTCTCGCGTCCTCGCACCTGCTCCACGGTCGGTTGAAAACACACTAACACTACTACACTAGCCACCAATAAAGCACCGAGTGATGCTATTAAACTGCCAATAAATGAGACGTTTCAATTGCCAGTTGGGCTGGAAAAAAGTGAATTCACCAACCAAATTCAAAGGTGAGGGAAAAGGAAGAACAGCCAATCTGCCTATTACTATGTTTTAAGTTTCGTCCAGTACTATTTCATTTTTCTGATCTCGATTCTGGTTAGCTGATACATTATTTGTCTCCGTACGCGGTTTTCTACTTACTGCAACGTAACTATGATAAATATACAGTGCTGATTCAAATTATCCGGACAGAACGAACAAACTTCGAACTTCAAACGCGTTTCTCTCAAATTGGGTTAATTTAAGACAAAAAAAAGATAAGAACAAATTTGCTTAGAATTTCACCAGAATTAAAATGATGGAATTTTTTTCCGAAATTTCCAAATAAAATTTCACCAAAAATGTGTCATTTTGGCTTTTTTTTATTTAATCAACAATTACCAAGAATCAATTTTGTTATTTGATTTTTAAAATGTATCATCAGAAGCATCTTACACAGCGCAACAAATATCTCGGAGAGTTAAATCTCCAAAAACCTGTATAAGTGAAACTACTTTTGCTTGATAGTGAAGAAATGTGATTTTTGCTTTATAAAACCCAAAATCTTTGCTTAAAAACAAATTTTTAACAATTTGTGCAAATTTGAGATTTAACCCTTCTAACACTTTGTTGGGCTGTGTAAGAGGCAACTTTCTCTTCAATAAACAAAATAGTTTCAGCGTAATTTTTGATTATTTTTTTTAAGAAGTGACCCAGTTTTGTGGTAAAATTTTGGTTAAAAATTTCGGAGAAAAAATAGCACCAAATTAATTCTGGTGAATTTCTAAGCAACTTTTGTTTTGTCTATTTCTAATCCAATTTGAGAAAAACGCGTTCAAAATTTCGGAGTAAGTTAGTTTTGACCGGTTAATTTAAATCAGCACTGTACTAACGTAAATTCATTTTGAAAAAAAAAATCAGGAGTAACCGACTGCATGATGCAGCATCTCAATATAAACGCTCACAAGTTCTTTTGCTTCGAAAAATATGCTAATTTTTAGTTTCTCATAGACAATTGCATAGAATTACAATTTACAGTTACTAGCCAGCCCATTTATAACCAAAATTTTCGATTTTACTTGAATGAAAAATACAACAGTTCATCTATTTGATTTCATGTTAAGTCGATGGCTCAAACAATTTCGCATAAATTTTGAATTTTTAAAGCAAGCTGATGAAGCATTTAAGACTTGAACAAGCCAAGCTGTCTGTATAGCCTGCAATGGCAATCTATCACCCCAAAAAAACTAAAAAAATTTTAAAGGTGTTTTGAGTTGAATTCCTTTGCAAAAGGAAAAACATTTTTCTAAAGTCAGCTATGCAAGCGATTTAACTTCAAATTTGAAATTGAACTGAGCGCCTCATTTGATGTGCTTGAACTTAAAAATCCCTGAAGCAAGCTTTCAAGTTATTTGCCGGCCTTAATGGATTTGGAAAAAAAAGAAAGGCAGACAAAAACGGAAAAAAAAATTATGAAGCGAGCTATCGGGCTATAAAGCTCTGGAATATGTGAACATCTAATTTCAAATTTTCTTCAAAGCAATCTAATCAATTAATGTTAAGTTGAAACGATTCAATTAATTTGGGTAGCTCTCATTGGTTCGCAAAATTTGTGATGATTTTTTTGAAACAATTCAGTGTGTTTTGACAAAAATAATTAATTCGATGAACGCTTAAGCAAGCATTTTTACCTTGAAAACAGTCGACAATTACTAAATTTTTAGAGCGAAATACTCGAGCGGCAGAACGCTTAAAAAATTTTAATTCAACTTGATAACTTGAATTGATAAGCCGTACTTTAAATTTATTTTTTTAGAAATGAAACATTGACACATTTTGTTCTCATGGCTTGAATTGATTTCTTTCTATGGCTCGAATTGATTCGCAAAAGTTGGCTTCTTATTGCAAGCTATTTAAGAAACTAAAACATGAAAAACTTCAATTCAATTTGATACATGAATTGATTAACTATAAGTCAACTACTTAAAAGCGCCTGACACACATCTACCCATCAAGCCGTAACCTTTTTTATGCTTAAGCTCAGTCTAGGTCGCCAAATTTAACTAACTTCTAAGCAGTGGCTATAATTGAACCTGCATATGCGCTGTTCTGCCTTGCTTTTCGCCGCCTTACCATGCTCATCCTACTTGCCCTGCATTGCTCCTTTCTCCACTGCCCTACGCTGCCTTGCTCTACCTTACCTTGCCTTGATATTCGCTGCCTTGCCTTGCGCTATCTTAACTTCCACTGCCCTGCCTTGGCTTGCGCTGCTCTGCCTTACTTTGCACTGCCATGCTCCTCCTTACCTTGTCTCACCTTCCATTGCCCTGCCTTGCCTTGCAGTGCCGTAACTTCTTTTGCCGCTAATCTGCCTTGGTTTGCGTTGCCCTGCCATGCTCCTCTGTGCCTTGCGCTGTCCTTTTCTTCCTTGTGTTGCGCTGCTCTGTCTTGCTTTGCCCTACCATTCTCCTACTTACCTTGTCCCACCTTCCACTGCCCTGCCCTAACTTTCGCTGCAATGCTGCTCCTTGCCTTGCGCTGCCTTGACTTGCATTGCGCTACCCTGCCTTGCATTGCGCTACCCTGCCTTGCATTGCGCTACCCTGTCTTGCATTGCGCTATCCTCCCTGTCTGCACCTCCTTGCGCTGCCCCCTCTGCCTACCCCTCCTTGCGCTGCCCTCTTGCCTACCCCTCCTAGCGCTGCCCTCTGCCTACTCCTTCTTGCGCGGCCCTTCTAGCTTACCCCTCCTTGCGTTGCCCCGCCCCTACTTGCATAGCTCTGTCTTGTCTTACCCTGCACTGCCCCTCCTTGCATTGCGGTGCCCTGCGCTCATAACTTCAAGACAATCTGTCTAGACAATTGACCTTTCCAAGCTCGCTTTATCTTGAAACTCAAACGTGTTAACTCCAAATAATTACTTAAACGTTACGAGCGGTGAGCTGTTAAACATGGCGCCCATAGCAATTGAAAACGACATACAATTAAGTATAAGATTTTTAAAAATTTCAAATGACAATTTGCATTTAAAAAATACTAGAAGTCAGGAAATGGCAAAGCCTGGTCGCAAAAATCCGGATACCGATTAGGGTCGCAAAAATCTGCGATCTTTTGCACAAAACGGTCCAAATTTATTAGTTCTACGTCTCTTGAACTGAACTTAAATGTGATTGGCTAATTAGCCAATCAAGTTCCACCGACATTTTCTGCTATTTTAATCGATATTTCAAGCAGATCAAATTATTAGCCGAAAAAATAAAGAGTTAAGAATTATGGTTTGTCAAGCCATTTTACTGAATTTTTCTTGTCTGGGCAAGGTTTCTGAAATGACTCGAAATTATTTGGCCTATTTTACAAAGCTTCACCTTTTCGGGTAATTTAGGCTGATATTTTTATCTGCTAGAATTATTATCGGAATGCATAAGTCTGTTCGACCGGAATGCATAAGACGCAAAAGTCTGTTCGACCGATCTCCACAACGGTCGCCAGAGAAATTAACAGTCGAAATGATCGGTCGTGTCTCTGGCAGAGACACGACGGATCATTTAAGTTGGATATTCTCGAAATGCCACCATGTGGTCGCCAAAGTCTGGAACTTTCATATCTTGGCGCAGAAGTCTAGACGAGTCAAAAAATGGTCGCGGCTCTTTTTCCTTTCCACCCCCCACCTCACACGACCTTCAATATATTAGTGTAACGAGTGGTTTTACGAGGTTGGAGTATGAAGACCAAATATGTTTGTCGTGGCCTTATTAGTCTTTATGTAAATTTTCATAGCAATCGGACAATGTAGTTAACAAATTTACATGTAAAAATTTGCAGTGGGGGGGGGGGGGGGAGGGGGAGGGGAAAGGAAAAAGAGCCATGGTCGCTAAAGTCTGGCGTAAGATGCAGACCTCGACATAGGATTTTTGACCAGATTGGTTCAAACATCTGGCTTGGGTCGAGCACATAATTGTTTTCATAATTGTTTT